TTAATTGTGAAGAAACTAACAACCTAATATGAAGAAAATAAAATGGCAAATTAATAAGGGCAAGTAACTCTTAAATTATCGCTTATGTAGTATAACAGAAGTTGCTTCCCTTACAGTGTCGTGAAGATTTGATTTATTATTCGTTAAAGAGACAGTTTTTCTGCTCACGTAACATTATTTAGTGTAGAACGTGATAAAATGTTGTTCTTTAAAAGGTAATACATACATTAAGCGACAAGTTACATGTTAAATGATGTTCAAATTTGTTTGGAGGGTTTACTGGCTTTCACATTTTCATTAAAATCCATAAAAGAGAATGATATATCAGTCTGTTAAAATATGCACTTTGCCACCTATAATTCATACTTTAGAGAAAGATATATTTACATGACAGATGTACGGTGACACAAAGGTGATATGTGTGTGTTTTTATTTATCTCGTGGCCACGAGATACTATGTCGTGGCCACGAGATACTATGTCGTGGCCACGAGTTACTAAGTCGTGGCCACGAGATAGCTAAGTCGTGGCCACGATATACTATGTCGTGGCCACGAGTTACTAAGTCGTGGCCACGAGATAGCTAAGTCGTGGCCACGATATACTATGTCGTGGCCACGAGTTACTAAGTCGTGGACACAGACAGCCAAGTCGTGGCCACGAGATAATTAACCAATCAGAAAACACTATATATATTATGAATTATTTAAACTTAACAACTTACATTTACATGCAACATTAATCTTTGAAAATACTGAAGATATTCACTTTAAAATTGTCATTAGAATCATATTAGAAAGTCACCTTCCAAGGCCCATTAGACATTAATTTTGACTACAGCTCTTTGTTGGGACAATTTTGTGATAGAATTGGTCAGTTTGTACGTAATACGGCCTGTTAACCTTGTTTATACGATAACATGAGAAGGAATAAGTCCTGGTTTATTTTAATTTGAAGGGACATTGCCCATGGACAGTAGATAACCTATAAGGTAAAATCCTTGTCTGATGAATAATTTAGAAGGGATAAGCCATGGTTTATATAACCCAGAAAGATCATTGCACCTGATCAATGGGTGACATCTAATAATTTCGAGATCATTGTGTCAAAAATCAGTGACGCTAAATGTAAAATTATTGACCAGTGAATAAGTTGTATAAATGGCACTTTTACAGGCTGGTGAAGTAGGGGCATCCTTGTACTATGGCACATGTCTAGTTAATTAGGGAAATTCATATAAATGGTATTATCTGATTGGTTATTTATCTCGTGGCCACGACTTAGCTATCTCGTGGCCACGACTTAGTATCTCGTGGCCACGAAATAAATAAAAAAACAAACAAATGTCACCTTTGTACCACCGTACAGATGGGTACACGAGTATGTTGAAAATATTGTTAACGTATTGTTACTTTTTATGTCTAAATAGACTCACCGCAGTTGGTTTTGCCTATATGTCTATGAACATAAGTCGTAAACTGATACCATGCACTTCACAAACCATTCAAATATTAACAATAATTATTCGTGTGTGTGTTTGCTTATGATTAATTACGAAAATGAAAACTGTCTTTTTTTCTTTTTGCTTTTATTATTATTTTTTTATTATTATTATAATTATTATTATTTTATTTTTTGTGTTTTTTCTGTCCTGACAAAAATGATTTTCATTGACCTCCTATAACTAAAAAAATAATTTAAATTATTTTTCAGCAACAACGATTCAAGAAATTGTGAAATTGTGTTAGGTACGGAGCCCCTAAGGTGACATTTTCCACACTTTTTTCCCCGGAATTTAATTCGTTTTTACGAAATAATAATTCGTAATTACGAAATAATAATTTGTTTTTACGAAATATTAATTCGTTTTTACGAAATATTAATTCGTTTTTACGAAAAATTAATTCGTTTTTACGAAATATTAATTCGTTTTTACGAAATATTAATTCGTTTTTACGAAAAATTAATTCGTTTTTACGAAATATTAATTCGTTTTTACGAAATATTAATTCGTATTTACGAAATATTATTTCGTAATTACGAAATATTAATTCGTAAATACGAAATATTATTTCGTAATTACGAAATATTAATTCGTAAATACGAAATATTAATTCGTAAAAACGAAATGTTATTTCGTAATTACGAAATAATAATTCGTAAATACGAAATAATATTTCGTAAAAACGAATTAATTTTTTCAAGCGTTTCAAAGAGTTTTGGTAATAGTTATAAATAAGGCCTCAAAACTAAGTTCCTGACTTAATATAAGGCATGTACATGCAATATAAATAGTGATTTTTGTTCTCCCCAAGTTTTTTAACTTTACACTATTGTACAGTACATAAATTAAAATTATCGCATGTCAATAGCGTTGAGCCACAGCCGTGATAGTACACGCGCTAGGAAAATTTACTTAAAATGGGGGTCCTGTGCTTCAAATCGTAACACGGACATTTCTAATAATAAATTGAGGAAATATTCATTTTAAATTGATTAGATTAGTGAAAGTCTGGACCCCCCCCCCCTTGTCCCATTAGTTTTACTAATGTATATGATAAAAGAACGGAATAATATAGCATGTTTCTGTTTTAAAGATACATGTCGTAAAAGATTGCCTCAAACATTAAAACATTGCTGATAGGAACATGTATTTGACAATAGGGAAACAAAGACCATTTTGGATAGAGAATGACTTCTCACTCAAAAACCCTGTTCACTTAAATATAATAACTTGAGAACCATTCGGCTTATAATTGCACAGTTGATCAAGGCATGTAAATGACCCATTTGTGAGATTAATAGGTTCTTTATCAAGCTCAAAATGACCTTAAATAAGATTTCGTAAAAACGAATTAATATTTCGTAATTACGAAATAACATTTCGTTTTTACGAATTAATATTTCGTAATAACGAAATAATATTTCGTAATTACGAAATAACATTTCGTAATAACGAAATAATATTTCGTAATTACGAAATAACATTTCGTAAAAACGAATTAATATTTCGTAAATACGAATTAATATTTCGTAAAAACGAAATAATATTTCGTAATTACGAAATAACATTTCGTAAAAACGAATTAATATTCCGTAAATACGAATTAATATTTCGTAAAAACGAATTAAATGCCGGGGGAAAAGTGTCGAGAATGTCACCTTAGGGGCTCCGTAGTTAGGGGCATTCGGGAACAAACATTCTAATTCAGAGATTACTGCACGTTTAACACTGATAAATTTAGGTATAATACTTCACGCGTTATGCCGGAGGTCGTATGAGATTTAAACTAACCAGTACGTTGACAAACCTAAAATTTAAACTAAGCTCCCCGGAAATTGGAGTTTGTTTCACAGTAAAGCCATACCTGAACACATCCCCCACGCCCAGAAAGAAGGAAAAATAACAAAACAAACAAACACACAAACGAAAATATTTTTTGAAAAGACTGACCATTTAAATCATTGATTGAGTATCCATTTAATACATGTAAGTGTTTTCATTTATTGCGTTAATAGAAAAAAAAACAATTATTTATTAAAACATAAAATATATCGGTTAAAACATCGTTATCAGAATAAAAATTAAGTACGTATAATGAATATAATGACAAACATTGCCAACATACAATTGTTACAGGAAATGTTACTGTTTTACAACATTTGTACACAGTATTAACTAAAATTTACCGTATGGTTTATGAGTTATGGACATTTTTCTGAGCTAAAACTCTGCTATTAGAAGAAAGTAAATAAAAAGAATCTGCAATATTACAAATGTACAGACTTAATATACATGATATTATATACGGCCTTCTCATATCTACATAAGCTTATCTAAATAAATACAGATATCATTTTGTCTATATTTTCTCGTGTATTATGCCGGCAAAGTATTTAACTTTTATATAAATTATTCTGCATTTTTTAAATTTCATGTATTTGAAGTAGCATTATTGCTTCATTACATTTAATTAAAACGAAGTTCTGTGATAATTATATAACAATTACAAATTTAAAGCTAACCAGCACTGTTTGGGTGTTGAAATTAATAATCTATAACCATTGTAAATTGTTGTAATTAAAAGTGAATTCTTAAACAATGAAGGGACGACAGGTAAAATCTGTTGCACAATGTAATATTTTTTACTTCTTGTGAAAGAACTAAAATAATAGAAATTCAATTCAAGTGAATTTAATTCATTATCTAACAAGGAATCATCATTTTCGAACAAGCAAGATTTTCACCACTTTTATAGAAAAAAATATTAAGTGGCATACTCGTTGCTAAATTACATAGTAATCATAGGTTTAAAGAATTGACCATGGTAAATGGTGAATGGCCAATGATAGATAATGAGTAATTGAATGATTAAATGTGAGACGTAAAAATATGGGAATTGAAAATACATATTTTATTCCATCAATTTTTCTCAATATTTTATTTAGGAGTGTATAATAAATATTTTTATAATGATATACATGTATAAATTAAAGGAAATATTGTACTTAAGTATTATTGTTTATGTTGCAGACATTTCCATTAATTTTAAAATATTTTATACATGATTGCACCAACGTTTGATTTGTCATGTTGAATGAAAGAATCATTGAAAAGCAACGATTGATATACACATGGATTGTGTACATGTAGCAATTGTATTACATGTAATTATATGTTTCAGCACGTTTGTAATCTTAATCATTATATTATTAGTCAATGCAGAATTTATGCACGAGGTACAATATACTGTACTAGAATGGAAGTACGTTCATGTTCAAATCGCATGACATAAGTATTAATTGATTGAAACATGTAACATCAAATAAAAATGCATTTAAACATGCTTTAACATAACCTTTAAGAATTTCAGACAGGAAATCGGCGCAATGAAATGAAAAGTTTAAATTGTTTTACAAGAGTTTATCAAAACGTTTGATAGTTAAACTGTCAGACATTTGTGTTTGATAATTTACGGTCATTCTAGATTTTTAAACAGAGTTTAGTATAAAAGGCAAGCAGTTCTGAAATGACATCGCAATCGCCAAATACTCGTCTATACACAAACAGGTAAGTGGAAATTTAAATTATATTTTCAAATAATATATAAATACAATTGCTTATTTTCCGTTGTCAGATCTAAAAAAAAAGAAATTTTCTTAAATTGAAATGAAGACCGACAAAGTGTTCATTTTTAGTACGACGTAACAAAATAATATTAATTTACTGATTTAATGAGTAATATGAAAAATTTGAAACCAAAAAACATTTAACAAAAAACATTTTTACAACAGATCCATAACGTAATCCATGAACTTTCATTTATAAAATGTAATTGTAATTTTTTTTCTGATCGTTATTAATAAGCTTATCAATGTACGGAATAAAAAAAATGAGTTAAATTTACTTATTCAAAATGTCGGTATGTTACTTGGGTGTCGTTTTATTTTTGATAATGAATTATTATATAATAATGAAGCTCTATTTTGTAAAAGAAAACTAACTTTACCGTGCCATTCCGAACAAAATATATAGAACTGTCCGTTGGTTATGGGGATAAGTGGTTATTTTACAAAGTAAAAAATATATAATTGGAAAAGATTATGGCAAAATGAAAGCCCAATTATTTTGACGTTTACCTGTGCACTCGTAACTTACACTTGGATGGCCTCATTGTCACTTTTATTTAATATGTTTATGTTTTCCCCCTAAAATTACAGTTTCCATATCGGTATCTTCTCTATCTATTTCTAGTTGAAAAAAATGTTTCTTTGTTGGATATGATTAGAATTTATGCTTATACTCTTTGTTAAGAATAAAAATAAGAATGAATTTTAACCATACTTCTTACACGAGTGACAAAGAGTTAATAGCTAATTAGTACATTATCATTTACGCATTGGAAGTAATTATCGGAAACGTAATTCCTTTTTTTTCATTTCTACATTGAACGAAATTCACGAAGTTGCGTTTCAGTTACCCCTTTCTTTTATTTTTTATCACGAACTTACTTTCACAAGTTTTGACGCTTCTTTTTTCAAAATTAATTACATGTATATGCAAATATATGATATGATATAATTATAGTTAATAGTAATTCCAACATATGAAATAAACGATATAGAGCAGTTCTCTTACAACAACTTCGGTTAATAATTGACGGTTAATAGGGTGTATCAGCTTTTTACACATGCCTAATAATTTCCTAAAAAAATACATTGTTCTTCCTTGGTGTTTGAACGCGTGTCTCGTGTGTATTTTTCTCAATGGGAACTCTGCCTCTGGCAGCTGAAACCTTAAATATAATTACAAAATATAGGTGAATGTGTTTATTATGATCTTTTTTTATCTAAAATTTCAGACAATCACGCAGCAATGAAGTCAGCAATTTTGTTCGCTCTCATCGGGGCCGCTATGGCCATCGGTAAAGGTAAATATCGGAGAAGTGGCAGTGTAATCCTACCCTTATATGAATACAAATTAAATAAAAAGTTTCTTTTTATATATAAAAAGCTCCACAAAAGATTGATTCCATTAAAAAGTTACATTTCATATAAAAATGAAAATACATTTTGTAAGATTATGAGCTAAGATTAGTTTCATTTTAATGTAGCAAGTGTTGACAAAATTAAACAAATGATAAAAATAATTTAAGGTGGCGGCGGAGGCGGTGGAACCGGTTACGGTTATGGAGGTGGTTACGGTGGTGGCTATGGAGGTGGCTACGGAGGTGGCTATGGAGGAGGTATGGGAGGAGGTAGTGGTGGTGGCTCCGGAGGAGGAGTGATTATTGTGACTGGAGGCGGTAGCGGAGGAGGATACGGCAGTGGATACGGCAGTGGATATGGAAGTGGATACGGAAGTGGATACGGAAGTGGATATGGAAGCGGATACGGAAGCGGATACGGAAGTGGATATGGTGGTGGATACGGCGCTGGCTACGGAGGTGGTTATGGAGGCGGTATGGGCGGTGGTAAATATGGAGGAGGTGGACTCGGTGGTGGCTACGGAGGCGGATATGGCGGTGGATATGGAGGTGGATACGGAGGTGGAATGGGCGGTGGCAGCTCTGGTGGTGTTGTGATCGTATCCGGTGGTGGTGCTGGCGGTATGGGCGGAGGCTACGGAGGTGGATATGGTGGCGGCTATGGAGGTGGATATAGCGGTGGTGCTGGCGGTATGGGTGGTATGGGAAGCGGATATGGAGGTGGATATGGAGGTGTATCATCACTACATACTTGTTCTTTCCTGAACATCATTTTTTTTCACAATGATCGTCATTTAGTATAACAATGAGTTTTATTTATTAGGCGGCGTGTGTGCTTTAATAAAAAAAACGTTTGTCAAATATATACAAAAGTGTATTATTTTCTTATATTTTCAATACAAACAATATCATTTTCTTAATATTTTTGCATTATTTATATTTATTTATCTATGCTATAATATCATTAATCATGAAATTACAAACTACAAATCAGGTGGATACGGAGGCGGATACGGCGGAGGAAGTGGAGGCGGAGTCATTAAAATTGTAACCGGAGGTGGTAGTGGAGGCGGATACGGAGGCGGCTATGGAGGTGGATATGGCGGTGGATACGGAGGTGGAATTGGTAAATACCGGTTTTGATAAAGAAATTTAAATACCTTACGATATGATAACAAACTATTGCAAGTGTATTTTTTCGTCACGTTGATCATTTAAGACATTTTTTTTACTTAAAAGAAAAACAAAAAAAATAAAAACAAGATATCAATCAGATCAATAATTATACAAAGTATTTAGATATGGTACCAAAACAAAATCGTTTAATGTGAGCATACGATCTTAAATGAAACCAATTATCAAGCAAAATTAGTTAATAGAAGACTTTCTTTAATTTCAGGAGGCGGTATTGGTGGCGGTGTCGGAGGCGGAGTAGGAGGTGGAGTCGGAGGTGGAGTAGGAGGTGGAGTCGGAGGTGGCGTCGGAGGTGGTTACGGAGGTGGATATGGTGGTGGATACGGAGGTGGTATGGGAGGCGGTGTTGCCCTTACCAAATGTAAGTAAAAGTCTAACACTAGGTGTCAGTACCCATCTTTGAGCGAAAATATAATTATATTAATAGCATTACATAATTATATGATTATTTTAAAATTTCCTCTTTGCTTTTATTATCATATTAATAAAAAATAAATAAATATATAAACCACTATGTAAGTGTACTTATATCATTTATACATTTTTTATATTATATTTTCAGCATACTAAACAGATCTAAAACCGACCGCCGGAGAAATACGAAATAATTTCGACCATGATTTGCATATGTATGTGTGACATCTCACTATCCCGACGGATTATTGACCGGACCGATTTACCGACGAGATTAATCATCTTTTAAAAATAAATACGCCTAGTTTTTATATAGACTTTATATACCCTTGTTTCTCAAATATTTCTTTTGCTGTTTGTGTATGGAAACCTTCGCTTGTAGTTAATAAAGCATATCAAAAATGTAAACAAGTGTTAATTGTACTTCATAATATATGTAAGTGTTTTTGTCTGAGTGCAATCATTAAAAAACATATTTGATGACATCTCAAGTACTGCGTCAGATATATCAATGAACCGTAGCAAAGATAACAAACTTATAGCTAATAAACAGCCAATCAACATAATTTAAATACCAAAATGATATTCATATAACGATATCAGTGACGTAGATAACTACGGAACAGTAAATGCACATTAAGCCTCAGAAATGTATGGGTTATCTTCCTTCTGTACAAAAGGCATGATATACATTTGTTTTGTATTGTTAGTGTATTAACTGATTTAAACAAAATAGATGCTCATCATCTGAGAGAAAAAGCTCTGAATGCGAACTATACGTGAGACATGTAGCAAACGAATCAAAACAGCATTTGACTTCCATAAAAATTACTAAATCACTATATATGTGCTAAACACAAAAGTAGCAAAAAGATGGCCCAACTATATGGCTAATGTGCATCTTTGAAAAACAAACAAATGTAACAGAACACACAGATAAAAATAGCTTTTCAAAATTAATTTAAATGATTATAAACGTTTGCATGGACCTTTCAATAAGAAATTACGTGTACGCTGTAATGCTTAACAGGAGCATATTTTTTTCCAAAATGCATTTTAAGAGCAAGTATAATACAAGATGACCCAATAAAACATAACACTAAATGATTTTAATATTTTTAAGAAAAACTAATCATGGAAAAACCAGTTCTATACATTTCCTGTTAGATTATATTAAGAAATGTTTAGTACCTCGAAAAGAGCTGTGCATTTAATTGCACTGCACGGATGTTTTACTAAATAGATAAAATACAGATAATTAATGAAAATCAAATTGTTCGTTTTACAATAAGGTAATGTCGTATATGTTTGATTGTAGAGTAAACAAACGAGCAGCACTTTGTACCACATCTGCAGCAAATAGGGTCATGGAATAATGGGATTTTCTATGTTAAAAAATTGTAATGGATACCAATAACATGATACAAGTATTTCCATTCAAAAACATGCTATAGTAAATATTGTTACTATAGTGTTATAAAGTGCAGCATTAGAAACCCTTCAAATTAAGGTATAAGTAATAGCAAATAACTGAACTTGTTAGAATGCACATTATGTAATAGAAAGAGCACCGAAACACGAGGCTATCTGATTTGTACGAGGGGGCGTAGCCGAGTGTTTTGGTGTTCTTTCTCTTTTGTATCATAGTCAAACATGAAAACACGTTCCCTGTTATCACAATTTTAAGAGTGTTTGATATTGCGTTATAGCCCGGGACAATTTTTATTACAGTTGATATATAAAACTACTGAGGGTTCAGTGATCACCGCCGTATGAACGAATCTGCGGATATTTCTAATTCAAAATTTCACTATTATGTGATAGGGGCGTGAATAGTACCTTGCATTTTCATCCATGAACATGCCCAACCCAATAAACCTGCAACATTTTCATTTTTGCAGGTTCGAAATTGTTGCTTTTCTCTGTTTAAGTAGCAAGTATGGAAGTTCATGTAAGAATAATCTGGATGACCATGCTACTTTAAATATATAAAGTCTTTGTAAAAACGTTTGTTAACAAACAATCTTTACCATGAAGAAATGTTTTAAAGTATAAAATGCTGTTATGTTTTCCTGTCTGTAAATGAGTTATGAGTTTTATGGGGGATATTATTGGTATACCCTGAAAAAGGATAAATTAAAAATAAGTAGCTCATTAATTCAGCCGGGCAAACAAACAAACTGAAAGCAAATTCTCTCGGACAACTTTTTATAAATGTCAATATTTTTGGATTATGCGCAAAAAGAAAACAGGATTTAAAATGATATTTTAATTAATACGTTGATAAATATTTTTTGAAAATTTTCATTATTAAAGATGTACTTTGCTCAAATTTGACATCAGGATATATTTATAATTGCTACACAGTTTTGTTTGTGTAAATGTAATATAAACATGACTTCACAGAAAGTAAGAGTAGATATGTTTAAAATTCTACATCATTCTATGGATGGTCACCATATGAATATTTAGTGTCATTAAAACTTAACTTGACCAGTAAAAGGGAACGCAGCTTCCAATGCATAGTTTATTCATTCTTTTATTCAAGTTAGACATATTGAGTTAGTATTTCATGAATTTCATAAATTTCTGTCATTAAAATATTTTACTAAAGAATGAGCATAGTATAATATATAGAATACCAAAAATGTGCTATTAATGTCTTTTTTTTACAAATATTTTATTCCGACAATCTTGGGAATGGTTATTATTGTTCGTAAAGTCACGAAGACAATAAACTTATTTATTATAATTATATAATTTATACAACATATTTAAATTGCAACTGAATTAATATAAAATCTAAATTAACTATACAATATTTGTTAAGATCGACGGTTTCGGAGCCCGGACACCGCCGATAAGTGGGCCGCCCTGAAATCAAAACAAGCCGTACGTGAAAATGAATGTAAGTGACCGAAAAGGCCGTAATAAGGCAAAACAGCAAACGTAAGCTGAGAAACAACCTAAGTGCCATTGGGCCATAATTATTCGCTCATATGGAGCTCTTGTAAGTACAAAATTGTCCCTATTTACGAGCACCAGCGATAGGGATCAAGTGGATGAAGAAAAGTAAGACAGGTTATTGCATTTGAAAACCCGGTAAAAATGAACCAAATGGACGAGCATCTGAATATGATATTTCTGTCGCTTTCCCTTTCTCTTCCGTCACAATAAGTAAACCCCGGCAAAAAAAAGCTAATCAATGGGCATGCTCTGGAGTGCGGGTAACTAATACCTGCACTCCAGTTAACGCACTGCATGCACATGTATACGATTTAACTCTGACACATTTTCAACAGAAAGGTCCCCCAAACTATGATACAAAATAAAAAGAAAGCTTATAGTAATAATGTTAATGTCTATGTTATGTACAAATACTTGTTCCAATGATTTATACACTTCACCCAAGCAAATGTATAAAGCGGAGGTGTTTGGCGGTATATCCCGAAAAGCAAGTGCGCTTATATTGTTTATCTTAACTAGATGTGTTCCGCCCCCTATTATATATGATTTTTGATAATATACAAATAATGGTGATGTAAGATATTTATTGTTTTAACTTAACATATCTTATTACGATATAAATATTATAAATATCATTGACCAGTTAAGATACAGATATCTTTTGACAGCAATATGTACATATCACATTGGATTCATACATGAACACAGAAGAACCAGTTGAAAATTTAATATTTTAGAAGCAAGTCTCGAGTCAATAAGTACCCAAGTAGAATACGCCAAAATTAGTAATCTCTGTCCAAAGTCGACCCGGCCACAAGTCAATCTAACCCAAAATTGTTTCTTTCGTCTTCGAAAACATTTTCCCCCAGATAATAATTAGTGCAAGCAACTAAGATGGTGATAACTAACAAATGTGAAAATACAATTTGCTGTCTGCAATAATTTAAATTTATTATTTATTCTATTATTATTTATATAACAAAATACTATCAAATCAATTTTTTATGTATTTGATTTATCTTATTTACACATTACTCATGCTAATGGATTCAGTATTTTAAAGCTTTATAATAATATATTAAAAAACATTTAACGCTAAAACATTTTTAACACTAAAAAATACAAGTCAGCTTTCACATTTTTGTAAGTAAAATCTAAAAGAAACGGCAAATCAAGTATAGAAATACTCAACAGTGAAAAGACAATTAAGTATTGAAATAACACAACAAAAAACAAAACAAACAAAAACAAACAAGAGGACCATGATGGCCCAGGGTCGCTCACCAGAAAACAACTGCTTTTCAGTGTTGGAAATTATCCATTGTCAATATTTTCAAATATTAAATTTGAGCATAGAATATCTTTAAACAATAATTTGAAGAACTGCCATGACCAGGGACATTTAAGCTTTAGCTTAAACGGTGCCAATCAAATTAATATTAGCAAATTTGATAAAAGACTACCTTAGAATGCTACAAAGTTTTGCGATCATCTATCAATTATTTCAGTAGGAAATGGTGTTCAAAGTTGTTTCTATTTTTAGCTTTAGTGGCCCCTAATAGGGGTTAATCAAATTAATATGAGAAAACTTGATAAAAGAGTACCTAAGAATGCTACAGATAAAGTTTGGTGATCACCCATCAATAATTTCTGTCCAAAGGTATTTCTATTTTTAGCCCTAGAGACCTCTTAACGGAGCCAATAAAATTAATATGAGTACGTTAGACGTTTAAAGGTATTTCTTTTTTAGCTTTAATTGTCCCTAAAAGGGGCCAATCACATAAATATGAGCAAATTTGATACAAGACTACCCAAGAATGCTACAAAAAAGTTTGGTGATCATCCATCAATTAGTTCTGTTTAAAGATATTTCTATTTTTAACGGGACCAATAAAATTGATATGAGTAAACCTCTTAAAAGACTTCCCAAGAATGCTACAGACAAAGTTTGGTGATCATCCATCAATTAGTTCTGTAGAAGAAGATGATTAAAGAGTTTTCTATTTTTAGCCCTAGAGACCCCTTAAAGGGGCAAATCAAATTAATATAAGCAAACTGGATATATTACTACCCAAGAATGCTAGAGACAAAGTTTGGTGATCATCCATCAATTAGTTCTGTAGTAATAAACGTTTAAAGGTATTTCTATTTTTAGCTTAAGCGGTCCCTAAAAGGGGCAATACAAATTCATATGAGCAAATTTGATAAAAAAAACTATCTACTACCCAAGAATGCTAGAGACAAAGTTTGGTGATCGTCCATCAATTAGTTTTGTAGAAGATGTTTAAAGGTTTTTCTATTTTTAGCCATAGAGACCCCTAAAAGGGGCCAATTAAAATAATATTAGCAAACTTGATAAAAGACTACCTTAGAATGCTACAAAGTTTGGTGATCATCCATCAATTAGTTCTGTAGGAATAGACGTTTAAAGGTTTTTCTATTTTTAGCTTTAGCGACACCTAAAAGGGGCCAATAAAATTCATATGAGCGCACTTGATCAAACAATATCCAAGAATGCTCCAGACAAAGTTTGGTGATCATCCATCAATTAGTTGTGTAGTAGATGTTTAAAGGTTTTTCTATTTTTAGCTCTGTTGGCCCTAAAAGAGGCCAATTGAAAAGACATGACCAAATTCAAGTTTGACTGTTACAAGGATGCTTCAGACCAAATTTTAAGTCGCTTTTCATGGAATGACCCTTCTGTATCACATTGAAGGTTCCTTGATAACCGACGTATGAAAACATCTGCGGATGTTTCTAAATTCAAAATTTCACCATTTTTGTGTTTAAATATTGAATTCTGCTGAGGCCGGTGCTAGGGGCCGTGGACGGTAACTTGCACTCTCGCGTACCGTCCATGAACGGGCTCAATCAAACCAAGTCTGCAACATTTTACAATTTTGTCGGTATGGGCTTTCTTTAGGGATTCTGTTTTTCTCTATTTTCTGTGTGAAACTACATCTCACAGAGCTTGGGTATATTTTGTGGCCTTACTTACAAGTTGACCTTTAAGTTAAATTAAGTTACATACATCAAAGCATTGGGGAAAACTTTTACGATTTATTATTGTAAGAGTCATTTTATTTTTCGAATTAATAATGGTTTCAGTTTGATAATCTTATTTTCATATTTAAGGATATTTGTATACGGAGATAAGAAATCATTGCCTTTCCATTTGAAATAAATTTAAATAAATATGTTTTGCAACAAAGCCAGACATTTGAAATTGGTAATGAAGTATAAAGCTGGTGGATGTGAATGTTTTTATTGACTACTCGCAAAATAATAAATAAATCGTGTCAATCCGCATTAAATCATGCGTTTTATGCATATTCAAGTATAAATTAATTTAAAGACCTACAGGTGGATAAGGGTGTATGGGAAGGAGCCAGAATGAAGAAAAAAATTATGGGAAATGGGTCACCATATTTGTATGTAACAACAAAAAAATGAGAATAAAGATCAACACATTGCGACATTCACAGAAGCCCAGTCACAATTGCAGCATGAGCACGGCTTGGTAGTTACTAAGTCAGATGGATAGCTTCCGTACACGAAAGAATCAAAAGTTATGGCGGGAAACGAGCCAACAGCGAGGAAGGGCGTTTGATTTAAAGTCAACGACCTTAACCACTCGGTCACAAATGTATATTTCTTCAGTAAAAAATCTCTAAAACAATAAAACATCTCAGCTTTAAATATTAGTTTTATAAATCCTATAATTCAAATTCACATAACTTTTAATTACTTAATAATTAATTACATTCTTACATGTTCATGTTAATTATCAAAGTTAAGTAATAAAAACCTTGTAAAAGGCGCATATCCATGTAAACTGGAGTTAATATTTTATCCGATTCAATCAACAAAATTAAAATCAAAAAGTTCAAAGTTGTAAAACAAGTTCAATTGCTATCGTTCTGTAATAAAATTGTCTAAACAAGGGTTTTATTGATTTACGACCATTTCATAACTTACCACCTGACTAATTATAAAAGCCCCTTCAGATTGTGATACCTGCGCATTCTTCCAGTTTTCAACCATACGCAAACAGGTATGTCGATTTTAGTCTCTTTGTTTTAGTTATAGTTGAACATACTATATTTCTATTAACAGCTCAAATGTCAAGCACACGCCTAGGTTTAAAATTACTATAATTAAAACATTGCGTTTTAATTCAGTTCATGATAAGACACTTTCTTGCTTTCATATTTGTAATTATGTTGTAATCATTTGTCATTAAAATTATTCTCAAGAAAAAATAATTCAAACATTTTCTCGATATATGTATGATACCCTACAATGTGAGTGATTGTTAGATTTTGTTAATATTAGAGTTCCATGAAAATGTTGCAAAATCAAAAATTATAACATGTTATGTTATAATACATCAAATTACAAAACAGTTTCACTTTTACATTTTCTGTCACGAACAGACTCCATCAAATCAAGTTAGCAATTTTCATATATCAATGCTTTCGAGGAGTCACCCCATTTTTCTCAACAGCAGCTGTCAAGCGCCTTGTGGCAGCTGTAAAAAGGTTGTCCCGTACTTCACTGTACAGTTGCTTTATTTTACTTGTCCTTCGGAACCGTGTCCACAATATTCAAATAATATTGTTGTTTCACTGATTCTGAAAAATCACCCCTTTTTATACATAGTAAGACAGAAGTTTATATCATTACAGACTACCAATAGAAGGATGAAATCCGTTATTCTCCTTACTTTAGTGAGCACCGCCATGGCCATTGGTAAAGGTAGGTATAAACACAATAGAGCCAAACAAATTGCCCGTCACTTATTTTTATTTTTTATAGCTATTAATGCTCTTTTTGCACCGGATTACTTTTGTTGAATGTACTAAATGAAAGATCCTTAATTATTTTATCATTTTACCACCAAGGGACTGTTAGTAAAATTCAATGAAATTGAATCAAAAGTCATTTAAACTTTGACTAAATTGTGGTGTTAATGCACGTGAATTAATCGTTCTTTTTTCTTTTTGATTTCCATTGTGTGGTACGATTATTCTAGTATATTATTTTCTATGCACATTATATTTAATATCTATCATGAAAGTTTCTTGTTCACACAAATAGTTTTATATAAAGTTATAAAACTATATATCTGCTGCCTAAAATTTACAAAATTATTCTTTGAAATCTGAGACCGATTTTTTTGTAAACATCTGTATTTGATAGAAATATGTCTGTATACTTTCTTAGAAGCCAATGACGCGTGCACGAAATTAATGATAAACAGTTAAACAGTTAAAGCCCAAGTCCAAGAATATGTGTATATTTTGTTTCTTTTTAAAGTACACTGTACAAGTGTGTCAGATAACATTTTTGTTTCAACTATTGATAATCAACCACATAATTACTAAAACATCAATTTTACATTTTATATATTTTATGAAAAAAAAATTCATATAGTTTTATACCCTTTAAAATGAAGGACGTGTTAATGTCTGTAGGCTTGTTGTAAAAAATTTGGCGCCTTAAGTCTGTGAGACGCGTGTAATTATAATGATATTTTAAAGATATTTAATTACATATTCTCTGTATACATTAAATTATATTCCATTTTACCGCTGTAGGTGGTGGCGGAGGAGTTGGTTACGGTTACGGAGGAGGATATGGCGGTGGCTACGGAGGTGGCTATGGCGGTGGTTATGGAGGTGGAATGGGAGGAGGAAGTGGAGGAGGAGTCGTTATTGTAACCGGAGGCGGAAGTGGAGGCGGTATGGGAGGAGGATATGGAGGTGGATATGGAAGCGGATACGGAAGTGGATATGGAAGCGGATACGGAAGTGGATATGGAAGCGGATACGGTAGTGGATATGGTGGTGGATACGGTGGTGGATATGGCGGTGGTTACGGTGGCGGTACCAGTGGAGGTGTTGTTATAGTATCCGGAGGTGGAAGTGGTAGTTTGGGAGGCGGTTATGGCGGTGGCTACGGAGGCGGATACGGCGGTGGTTACGGAAGCGGTATTAGCGGTGGTGCAATCGGTGGCGGTATTGGTGGTGGATACGGCGGAGGATACGGAGGTCAGTACAAATACATACTTTAGTTGCTCATTAGCATGTGTGCAAGTGTGTATTGCTAAATATGAACAAAGTAGAAACCAGGATGCTAGTCTTGAATATAATAGGTACATCGGTAGCAATTGAACATGTGTTTCAAACTTATCCAAGAGTCAACGGACATTTATCCTTTTTCTGAATATTTACATTACCAGTAAGTTTTCATTTTATTTTAAGGCGGCTATGGAGGCGGATACGGGGGCGGTAGGGGAGGAGGTAGCGGTGGAAGTGTTATCAAAATTGTAACCGGCGGTGGTAGTGGAGGTGGATACGGGGGTGGTTACGGAGGCGGTTACGGTGGAGGAATGGGTAATTTTTATCTCATCTACTCTGATGATTTAATCACACTGGTTATATATAAAAGTGTTCTTTTATTCAGTTTAATATTTATAATTAATAAACAAATAACCCTGAATGATCATTAATATCACATGCAAATTATAGAGCTCGTAAATAAAGCTACATGTAGAACATTAGAAGATCTTTACTTTAGTCCGGTAGGAACCGCTGGTAAAATGTTGTTAGTTTGTTTACTTTATGTTTGTACAAATTCTTTAAAAAAAACTATGTATTGCCATAGACAAGAAAAACAAAGTGAAATGACAGCATAAACTGTTTGCATAATAAATACGTTTTTCTTGGACTTTGCTTATCCAAAGTTAAAAACAGACTTCACGACGACCTTTCAATAAAATAAATCTACTTTATATGATTTATCGTTACATAATTTTAGAAATTAGATGATTTCTAAAAACTTTTTCATCTAAGGAGGTGGTATTGGGGGTGGTGTCGGAGGCGGTATTGGGGGTGGTGTCGGAGGTGGTATTGGTGGTGGAGTCGGAGGTGGAGTCGGAGGTGGGTACGGAGGTGGATATGGTGGTGGATACGGAGGCGGTATGGGAGGTGGTGTTGCCCTTACCAAATGTAAGTAAAAATTATCATGTTCAAAATTAATGATATTTATGAAACATTGTCATGTTTTTTTTAAACAAATATGAAATGAACAAAAGAAGGGTGGTTTGATTTAGTGTGCCTTTATGAATACTTATTCTTATAGACTTACTAAATAAAAACAACAACGCTTATAGAAATTCATCTCGATATTTATGTAACAATGTTTAATCACTCATTAACATTTTTTCAGCATATTAAATACTTCATCTACACTAGCTGAGACCGATGGCAAAGGCATCTCCTCACTGTCCAATTTGAACGGCGTGTCGACCCGTTTTACCGACGAGATTTCTTCCATATACATGTATGCTTAGTAATTAGATTTTTATACGTTAATCATATCTGTCTAAATGCGCATTGTTTGTATATAAAACCTACCTTACGTTCTCTACAATAAAAGTATTACACATAAATACAGTGTGTGTGCTTTGTTTCTTTTTGTTACATCAGATAACTGTAATTGTTCAGCATGATCAAACCAAAATTAAGTTGAAAAAAACAACAGATCTATATGCTTTCACAAAGATTTTATCCTTTAAAAGATGAAAAACAGTTATATTAAATATCATGGTGGTGAATTGGGCTAATTCTAGATTAACTAGCCAAACCCAAATCACCTGGCCGGGTGGTTAACGGTCAAACTAATAATCTAAGCATTGCTGTCCGCGTAGGTTCAAACCCTGTCAGGGTAAGCAGTTGTTTCCTTGACCAAGAAACTTAACTATCATTTCTTAGTACTATTTGATTCAAGGAACGGATTCGAGAGTGTTTCAATAAGCTTGTAGCTTCAAACACAATCGAACTAAGATAAATTTGTATAAACAAAATCATTACTGCATTGTAACGTCCCGACCTCCTGCAAATGTAATTGATAAATCAGTAGTTAATGCGTGTATCTGTACTCCAAGCACCTTGCTACAGAGTTGGATCTTGAATTGTTTGAGTCAGAACCCGTCCCTTCTTACAAATTTAAACAAAATGAACTTAATAGTTTCATGCTCTCATTCGCAATGTTTGCACTGATTTTACATCAAGATCATTTTCATAAACATACTTAAACAGTGTTAAAATGTATTTAGAATGTAATTTATTGTCAAGTTAGTAATTAACACCTTGCAATCTACTGCAATTGCCTATTATACGTTGAAATTTACACATACAAAAATCGGCCCTTATTTCATTTGTATTCATATCCTTAAAAATACCCTGCATTGCATATAATAAGTGAATTACTTCTTGATGTCTGAAAATGTATTAATTGTTAAAATATTTGTATATTTTTCTCAAGAAATTATTCATGTTATTGGCTCAAAAGACATCTGGAGGTATACAGCTTAAAAAAGGCAAAATATGTCAAATTTGCCGAAATTTATTGTCATGTAATTCATAATTTATCTGTGATTTGAACGTCTCAACAAAGGGTTGTTATAGATGTGTTCGTCATTTTTTCAGGGTCACGATGCAAATGTAATCTCCGAATCTACTATGCGACGTTATTAATGCCAGATAAATAATAATTGTATGAATATTTTATAAATTTGTAAACTTTATCTTCAACCCTGTATTTTAATTACAGTTTTGTTAAAACTGTCACCATAATTTGATAATAGCTTCTTATGTCTTTAGGTATAATTTCAATGTACACATGATATTACACTGTATAAAACAAAACGTCGAAAACTCCGTTCTGGTGCTATGTAAGATTTTTTTTTAGATTTAAACACACTCCTTTACTGGATTTAGATGTATACATATGAATCATATCCCATGTGGTGTAAACATATAATGCTGTTGTGTAAATATTAGTCATTTGAACAGGAAACCTGCATGTCATTACAAAATGCCAGATGCGAGCAGACCTAAGGATGTCACATGTAAAGTATATCCGGCATATATAATACGTAACCAGAACCCGCAAATAAAAGAAATGAATAAATAATAAATAAGAGAACACAAGAAATGTTGTTGTTTTTTTGTTGTTGTTTTTTTTTGTTGTTGTTTTTTTCATTTTATTATATAGATGTTTACAAACAGTCAAACAGGAATATAAGTTGTTACATATTTAATAAAATGAATGTATTGAAGCAAAAACACAATTTCATTTCTGTTTGCATTTTGGAAGGTTCAATAATAAAATCAAGTACACATATTAAAACAAAAAACAAAAACAGCGATTCTAAAGGTTTTCAGTCCTTCTGTCTTCATTTTAACCGTGCCATATAGTTATATTTATAACAATATATAGTTATACTTAAATAAGAATTTAATGGGCAAATTGCGAAATCAGGACTACATTTGCAGGTTCCAAGTGGTAGCCATAAAATATACCCTGTATTTCAGTGTTGTGTCATTTTTATGGTTCTTCGTGATCAATGATTCCAGCATTTTAAAGTGTTGCAAATTGAGTACTGCTCGCCGGTGCTAGGAGAGGGAGGGTGGGGGGGGGGGGGGGGGAGGATGAGGGATTTTGCACTTATTTATTATCCCTTATGTACATTCTCAATCAAACAGTGTATGCAATTTTCATATCATTTTCTTGTGATTAATTCTTCCGAGAGAGCTATATTTTCCAGATAATTACCATAATGTTACTATATTGAATGATTGCCGGCTCCGAACAGAATGTAGCTCTTTAATCCATCACTTATTCAGAAAAAATATGTCCCCCTCACCAAATTGTCAATGTGGACTCCTGGAAAGTAACCACCACTTTTTCTTTGAGTGTCACTTCTATAATGATATGACTCAGACTATTTGATGCTGTTTCTAACATCTGTACTATAACACTTCATACCTTACTAAACGGAGACCAGAATCTTAGCCATGACATTAATTCTAAAATTGTTCAAGCAGTTCATGTATATATACGTGAAAGTAACCGATTTTCATGAGCTTAGATTCACAAAATAATTTGCCAACTTGACCTATCCGAATGAATCTTCTTTACCTTCTTTCTAATTCTTTTCAATTATTTATATTCTTTAAAAAAAGATCTATTGAAAAATAGCTAAAATCTTCGATATTTTTTTCGTTTCAAATATGTTAAAAATTAACTTCATTGTTTCAAACAATATTGCAAACACTGTCATAATTTAACTGCATTGTACAAATATGTAGGAGAAGACCTTTATAAGCTTTATAGCTTTCGGCTCTAATCCTTTTTCATTCGTGTATCTAATTATTGTAAATGTATTAACAACATGATGTACATGTATCATTGTTTGAAATAAACTATGTTTAAATTGATAATCATTATGTACTTACACATATATGTGTCATGGAATGCAAAAATGGGGTTTCTTGACCAAATTTTGGATTTTCACTTTTTTGAATTTTCTGAATCTATGAAATATCAGAAGTAATTCCTGAAAATTTGAAGGTCGTGTCTTTCTTATTAACAAAGATATACATAATTTTGTGTGTATGGTGTCCAGTAAATAATTAAAAATTCACTTAAAAATCTATGATATTTGTGATGTTTAAAGGTGCATGAGGAAAACAACTTATGAAGCTGAAATGAATTTTGTGAAAAAAATGTTTTATGTTATTAAAGTTAATAAATGTTGTATAATACTTTTGGAATACAGCCACCATAATTAAAGCATCATTTACATTATGTTGCCTAGCAACGGACCTATTCCTGGGTTCTTCCTGGCCTTTTTCGTGTAAAAAGTTATGTGCTATGTTTATTTTATAACACTTGCAACTATCAATAGGAAATATATTCTTCTTTCACATTTACAAATAGTTCTATTACATTTCTACAGTGTTAACAGGACATATTACTGTTGAGAGATATCATAATACAACTTCAAAAGAACTAAACACAGTGTCCATTTATCATTCATTTATTAACTTTATTCAGATATTTACTCTGACAGCAGACAACAGTTTAATACAACAGTAAATGAAAGATGACTTTAGTATAACATCATCAAAGGTAGTAATACTAAATAAAGGGCATAATAACACAAATACAACATGAAGGAAACTATATTCTGTTACCTAGCAACCATGGAATATTCTAAATTTTTGTAATTTATTTTGTAAGTAAACAAATTTCTTGGTAAAATATAGCTAACAAAGCAGCAGCAATAAATTAATTTTCAATAAAATTACAAACAATGCCTATTATTTACTTTTAAATAATTTTCCATTCAAGATATTACATGCATTACATGTTCTGTACACTTGACTAGTGATAGTAGGCCATGTTAATTTTAGCAGAAACTCAGTATTTTTGCCATAACCAATAAGCATTTGATCAAATCACTGTGAATTTCCATATTACATAAATATATCTATCTGCTGTATAACTGATTTACATAATACCTAAGCAATTAGTAACAATTAATCAGTGTTGCCAAGCAACCACAATATATTCCATAATTTTCTTTTAAATTTTACAAATTTTAAGTTTGATTAAAATAGATCTCAAAATACCATGAACAAAGCAGCATGATTACAAAAACAAATTACAACTATTAAAACTGCAAATACAATCTGAATAATAGTTCTTGGATCAAAGCATCCTAAAACTCACTTTACTATAGGTTTTGAATTAAATAGATAATATACATAATTTCATAAAAGTATTTTAAGGAACATGTGGTGTTAACTACACTGTTTCACAACAAAGTAAGGACTTTGAATTGACTAGCATGATTTAAATGACATAAAGACAATTCCTACAAAAAAGTTTAATTACTTAAAACTGTCTCTGTATTTAATAAGGTTGCTTAGCAACCAATGAATATTTATTATCTTTAATTAATTTCTAAATTTCCAAATTTTTACAGTCATACAGGAGATTAAGTTACAAAAAAGCAATGTGTGCTATTATAAAAAATTGAAAACAATACCACAAATAATGTGTAACTGAACTTCCGGTATTCAGAGAACAGCCTGCCTCATCATTCCTTCTAATATCATGTTCACAACATTTATCTTTAGGTACATTTAATGTTCTATATTTTGATATTTTACAACTTAGTGATGATTATTTTTTAATTATAGAGTTACATTAGATCAAATATAAAGTATTTTTATTATAATGCACCTGTTAAAAATCCTTCCCAACTGAAGGGAATTTTGGTTGCCTAGCTAACATGGACTATTCTTTGATTTTGCTGCTTCTTTTAACATTTTTTAGAATTTGTGATAATCTTACAATGTGATTCTACACTAATATCAACATAAAAATTCAACTGACCTATAATTGTTATAGATAAAGTATTTTTCATATTCTACAACTATAAAATGTTTAAAATTTGACAACAATTACTGAAGCTTAATATTACTTTACATTTTCATAAAGTCATTTTCAATCTAGATCAAAGCTTAAGATAAGATTACAGTTATCAATTCATAACATTCATAGGTTCAACAGAAGTGTATAACTTTAAGTAAAATGACAAATGACAATAAACTTAATCTCATAAACATTTTGTAAAAATGATGGAAATTAATAACTGGTAAACTGACATCCAAAAATAATATAGGCACCCATTAATTAATATCATAACTTATTAATAACATCAATGATCCACAGTTCCACACACTTGTTAATATAGCATTAGTCCTTAGAGCAGCAGTTATGCAAGACAACACTTGCAGTCTTATCTTATGAAGCATAAAGACAATCATCTCACTTCTACTTGTATCATAAGCTATATTTGAAATGAAGAAAATAATGACAGTCCATACATGACCACTAAGTTATAGGAACTCCAATTATACTCAAGAGTAATAGACTGCTCTTTCTCTTTCCACCTTTTTTCACATAATGTCAATATCCAACTTTATTTCTATTTTCCGATTTCGGGATAACCGGTTTTGGCCACACAGTATTTTAGGTATGTCAGATGTGAAGAACTGTACTTCAGGTTAAAGACCTCTGGGAGGCATTTGTTTCAGTAAATACATTTTACCCTGCACAGAGTTAATATATTATTTACATGTTATAACACCTGGCTCCATTGTACTTGCACACAAATGGTGGTATTTGGATAACTGTTTGAGGGGTTTAACCCTAGGGATTTTCTGGATCATCTATAAGCTGTGGAATATTGTGCCCTGCAGGACAGTACACTGAGGCAACCTGTTGCATTGTTTCTTCACTTTCCAGATATAAAAGTGCCAAACATGTTGAGACTGACACTTCCATGGAGTCCTAAAATACATATAAATTGGAAGTTTAAAAAGTTTGCATAGGATGTAAATAGTACTTAATACTCAAAATTATGATTATATTTAAATATAAACTGAATATTCCTTTTGCAACTGAAAATACTATGGCATGGGAGAATTATAATAAAAATTAATTCATGGCAAAGGAACACATCTGACATAAAAAATATAGAAATCTACCTAATATAATATTCTTACATATTTTTTTACAATATGGGCATGAAAAAAATATGTCAAAAAATGTTATTGGCAAACTAACCTGATCCCTCTGCACAAAAACCAAACACATGGAACTTTCTTGGTGTCCTAAAACATATTGGACCAACCTGTTGAGAATGATGGGGATTATGCACTTGTTGGACATAATTCCAAGGGTTGGAGTACTTTACATCAAGAGTGCATGGTGAAGTGCCTGAAATGTACAGTAGTTAAATTTATAAATTATGTATTATTGTTATACAGTTATTACAATTTATATAAAAGTCAGATTTTCCTGAGGTCCTCAAGTTTTGCTAAAAAGGCACCTGCCAATATGATTCCTTTAATATGCATCCTTTCTAGAAAGCTTGTCATAGGGCTGTGACCTTTTTTTATTAAAATATTAGTTAAATTATTTCATACAAGTTCAGGCTTAGGTATTCATTAATGTGCTTCTAAGTGTGAACAAAAAAAAAATGATATTTTGATGTGACATCATATGCAAATATAATGTAAATACACGCTAAGTGTAAGCGTTACACTATACAGTAGTCAAGTTGTGTCAATGGAAAAATATTCCTTTTAATTTTAAACAGTCTTAAAGTTAGGTATGTGATTAATAGAATATTATATTTGTGTGGGTTCTTAACTTATTACATATAACTCATTGAATAAAATAATATTGTGCTTGCATTATATAATTTTATTCAACTTATTCAATAAATTCAATATTAATTGTACCTAGACTCAGGCTACAGTAGAGGCTATGCACTCATTCAATACCCTCCGTTTATTGAATCTGGTTATGAAAAATTATGGAAACTGCACCATCTCCATATTTTTAATTTTAAAGGTCTGAAAATTTTAAACAGCTCAAACAATGTAGCCAGAAATATATTTTCACTTTTGAGAAATCTATTAATCACATACTGTTGTCAGTGTTGATCAATACAAGTTTTCAACAGTTCAAATTTTTAATCTCATACATGTACTGTACTGTACAGTATGCATGGAAGAAAGTAAAAGATTAAAATTCTTGAAAATCTTGAATTTCCTCACTTTGATGATTGTTTTATCTTAGAGATTAATTACATAAATTTTGGTATTAATTGCTTTGAGTAAATAATTACTTGGCTGCCATTTTCCATGTTGCTATCAACAAACCGTTGTCCAGGAACTGCAATTGTTTCTACTTCCGGGTATAATTATTTTCCGATAAAATACATATTTTAGCAAAAATACTAGAAAAAATGCATACTCACTTAACCCGAATAATCCAGTTTTATATAAGTTTTGTCAAAGCAGACTTTGTCGGTGTAAAATATACTTTTAAACACCGAAAACATCGAATCAATTCACCAATAATTTATCAACAATCAATGTCAGATGACGTAATCAGTGGTCCTCGTAAAAATCTTTCCCCGTGATAATTTTACTCACTGTCATAGGATGAACGGTAGCAAATTATTTTCGCCGTTGATTACTCTGTATGAATCAGGACCCCATGTGCTGACAAGTCATTTATTATATAATTAAGCGCTGTTTTTACTGCCAGTTGAACGGAAAAATAACGAGGAAAAAATGGCGTCAAAGATCTCGCATTTTCTCGATAACGACGTCAACGTCAAGAAGCCCCATTTTTGCATTCCACTACACATATTATGGTTTGTTAACAAGGTTCAGATTTATGTAGTTTTCACATTCATCGGTTGTTTCAATAGTAAGTTTTCGATTTGGCAACAGTTTGGATTTCACTTGAACAAAAATGAGTAAGTCGACAGTGTAATCGTTGATCTGGTATAACAAGTCTCTCCTAATCCAAGATTATCGACGATTCGTTTTATGTCACTGAACCAATTCTTACATCATGGATAAACACCCGCTTTGTCATCCTGTTGTCGTCCATGAATAATAGCCTGTTCCAGAAGCGTAAAATACATATGCAGTGTCTATACAGGCTAGATAGCAAACCGTATAATGCGAGAATGAGTGTGAACCTACAGACATGTATACTAATTGTTTTATGTTTTGTAGGTGGTAGCGTTGGTTACGGAGGTGGTAATGGCGGTGGAAATGTTGGTGCTTTCGGAGGAGGAGCTGTGATCGTATCTGGAATGGGTAGTGGTAATGGTAGTGGTGCTGGTGATGCTGATGGTGAAACTGGCGGCAGATTGGAAGGCAGTGCAGGTGGTGGCCACAGCGGCGGGACTGAAGGCAGGGGTAAAGGAATATTTGAAAGCGGAATGGGAAGAGGTTCTGGAAGTAACGTTCTTTACGTATCCGGTGGCGGAAGCGGAAGAGGTGAAAAATATGGAGGAGGTGTGACCGGAGAATATCGTGGTGGATATGGTGGCGGTGTAGGGGGTGGTAGCAGTGGAGGTGTTGTTATTGTATCTAGTTATGGGGTCAGAAGCGGCATTGGTGGTGGTACAGTCGGCCTAGAAATTGGAGGTGGAGTTAGTTTTTGAGGAGGTTTCGCAGGTGAATATGGTGGTTAATTTATTTAAAATTTACTGATATTTATCTATAAAACTCGGCCATTATTAGTACCCTTCTTTTACAAAAGCATCATAATGTTGTGACACGACTGTGATTTCATTAGAATTACTTAAATACTTAAAGATTGGTGCTCAGAATTTTCCTTTATAAAAATTAAAAGTAACTTTACATTATTTCCTTCTTTGATCCTTTAGATGGTTACGAGGGTAGAATGGGCGATAGAAGTAGAGAAAATTTAATCAAGATTATAACAAGTAGTGGGCAGCGGATTTGGATATGATGGAGGCATTGGTCAGTATTTTTCTTGATTTTATAATATTGTAGTAAAATTCCTCCATGTGTTTTTGATTGGTGGTAGATTATTTTAAATGAATGAAATTAGTATTTGATTGTTTTTATATGTGAAAATGAAAGTAAAATAAGATTATTTTAAGAGTCGAAAGATACATGAAATTTCCATTATTGATTACAAGAGGTGGTGTCAGAGGAGGAACAGGGATCGGTAGTGCAGGCGAAATAGTAGGCGGAACTGTACGCAGAATTGCAGGGAGATAGGAGGCGTAATCGGTGTTGGTATTAGAGAAGGTGCATCTCTGCCCAAATATAAGTTTAAAAATTACAATCGTAATAATTATTGAATATGAAAGTTGTTATGAAATATTACATTTTAAAGAAATTAAGTAAACAAAATAGGCCTCAATCAAAAGGTCTAAATTCAAGCAAGTTATGAAATTAGTGTTAAAACAACTAAACAGCATACAAGAAAAAAAATCAAGAAATTCCGCGTAACAGAATGACTTTGGTTGGTTGGCCCAGTCTGGTGTTTTTGGCGTTATGCTTACTGGACTGATATACCGATGAGATTTTTAACCTTATGATTTGTTATTATAGCTAGCTTATTTGTGTTGTATTGTTACATGTTATTTATTATTCTTTTGTTGTTTGATTGTTTCCTAACGTAAATAAAGCTTTGATATACTGTTTATAGTTGTTTTAATCCGAACATGTAATCATGATGTTATATTTTCGATCCTTGAATATCGTTCAGCACACCATAATCCAAATATTTAGGTCAATAAGAACGAAAGACAATAGGAACCCTATTAACATTTCCAGAATTCGACTATAAAACAGCGCATCTCGATATACTAAAGCCCTGATAGTTCTGAATCCGAAAATCATTGATCTGTTGCTGACATACTTTCAGCAATGCATATCCCATAATTTATAATGAACAGTTCCAAAACATTGAAACTGGAAAAGTCCATTACAGAAAAACAGCAGGTGTTTTTTATGACCGTTTGAGACCGAGAGTCGAATTGCATTAAGTTGTGAGACTTCGTTGAAGGAACTCTCTAAACAACGAACCTGGAGATTTTGAATTTCAAAAATTAACAAGGCTTTGCATAACTTCTAGTACTCAAATTTAAAAGAACCAGTGTCCTTCAAAACACTCTGAAACGTTTGCCATGAATTGTGTCTCGTTTTACATGGACTTTTGCTCAAAGTTTTTAAGGCACATAAAGCCGCCATAATGTTTGCAAAATGTTACCAACGTGGTATTTTGACCGCCATACAAAATCACTATTATCTAGTACATGTAATTGCCAAAGATAAAAAACCATAAGGTGATTTATCTGTATAGTCAATGAGTTACGTGTTGGACAATGTTACTAGAGATAAAAAATAGACTCTAATCTGTTGTTTTTTTGGGGGTTTTTTTAAGAAGAAGAAGAATAAAAGGATAGCATTGTTGAAGCTTAATATGCCTTTAACATAGCTGCCTTAAATATTTCATGTAAAGATTGTTGAAAATTCTGAGAAGGTTAATTAATCAAAGCTCAGATAACGTTTATCCATATTTTTCCGTGATGTTAGAATAGCTGTCTTATGTTATTGCGCATCTTAGAAATATTTTCAGATTAAGGCTATACGTTATCTGTAACGTAGATTAATTGTTATCTATTTTCCTCTAAAACATTTTATTTATACGTATTGATAATTGATTTTAGACTTAAAGGATCGAAGACAATGCATTCATTCATTCATTCATTCATTCATTCATTCATTCATTCATTCATTCATTCATTCATTCATTCATTCATTCATTCATTCATTCATTCATTCATTCATTCATTCATTCATTCATTCATTCATTCATTCATTCGACAGCTGTTATCATTTATCAACCAGCAATTTTAATTTTGAAGTCTATTTTTCTTCGGTAAATTTCTTACGTCAAAATTAATCATGATCAGCATAAATATTAACACAAATTGCGTTACCATAATGCTAGTTTATGTTCCCTCCTCTAACAATACGTTATAACTAGCAAATACAGGTAAGAAAACCAGGTTACCGTAAAGCTCGCGTTGTTAATACGTAGGTTTCGACTTGCTATTTTGCTTTTTTTTAAATTTAATCAAACCAAAATAAAATTTAAACGAATCAACTGAACTATTTACACACGAAACAATCAAACACTGTCGTAGATTTCCCTTATAATATTATAAACAAAGAAGGTTGAAAGTTGCAGTTTTGTTTGAAAAATCTGGAATTTGAAAAAAAAATATATATTTGTTGAATTTTGCTATGAAATCTATCTAGAATGATAGAAGATGATCTAACTAAGAATATATATCGAAGCTGACAATATCTTTGATTCAGTGATTACCACTACCCATACGTTTGAAGTTTTGTTCACGTGACGTCACAATGCAGTCGCAAGACTTTAACAAAATACACTCTTTTATTTCAATTATATGCTCTGTAATTCGCATAAAATGATAATAAAATAATAACAAAAATCCATTAAATAACATTGTTGTTAGAAACTCTTAGACGAATACACATTTCACCACCAAAAGTATAGTCCAACACTATTTTTATCTTGACGTGTTAGAATAGAAATATATCTTTTATTTTGAGTTATCTGTGTTATACATATATAACGGTATGTCGTTTGGACGTTTGTAATTTATCACGCAATCATAATTATGTATCAAGTTCAGTTAACATAACTATTAAGTTTTATAAGCGTTTTAACAGGTTCAGAATATATCCGGGCAGTATACCCTACGTAAACAACTACTGAACACCAATTATAACGATATACCGCTTATAAGGATATACCGCTTATAACGATGCTGCTGCTGCGGTTGGTTTTCGGATATCACGATATCCGGATGTAGCACTTTCTAATTTCTATTTCATTTTCTGAATTCAATTATGTACTTTACACAAGTATATGTTTGCGTATACGTAGTTCAGCATAAAGAGAATTACGTTAAACTCCTTTTCTAAAATATAATATAATTTCTACTCTTCCCATCATCAAAACGTATAGCTCTACGTTATATTCAGAATATTATTTCTTATTTCCGTATTAACTGTATAAAGTACAACACGTCAAAACTAATGTCATGTAAAACAAAAACACGTTGTTGTTGTTGTTTTGATGTAGATTAAAACATGCCAATTAAAATAAAAAAAACAATGATTTCTTCCAACGCACACAATGTAACACATTTATATGAAGTTCCGTAATTTTTACAAGAATCTACGTAAATTGAAAGCCATAGGATTGTAAATCATATATGTCACAGATCATAACATGTAGCAACCGTGATACAATAATTGTTGTCCCATCACGTGTCACGCACATGAATAAAAAATTATGTCAATACGCTCATTTTTGATTAAAAAGCTTTACTCAAACCATAAATACTTTGCCAGAATAACAATATAACAAACGTGTCACGCACATGAATGAAACGTTTATTTTTGGATACAAACCATGAATCCTTTGTTATTTCCCGACCAGCTCCAAATGAAATTGCTAAATCAGAAGTTAATACGTGTATTTTGATATCCAGCCCCGTACTATGTAAATTAGTCTTGTTTGTTTTTGTTTTGTTTGGTTCTACGGCGAACCGACACAACTTTTGGTTATATTGCGCCGAAACAGGAAATATGATTTTGGCTAACCCCAGATGTTACAAGTTTAAAGCAACATCAGGGACCACACGGTGTTTACAATTCTGGTGCTCTCAACTTTTGAAGGCAACCGCTCAACCACAAGGGGGAGGTGGGTCTTGAAAATTTGACTAAAACTCTACCCGCTTACTATTTTAAACAAAATATTCGTTAAAGCTTATGACCTCTATATTGCAGTACATATGATGTATATTTGTAATGTGCACTCTATCATTGAAACAACAAAATGTGTCACATTAGACGTACTTTTAACGCCAAATTATAAGTATATACGTAATATATGATATATACGTCTCAACATAGGGTTGCCATTGATGTATTTACCTTTTTTGTCGGATCATGGTGTCAGTCAGATTTGCCACATCTAATATGCGATTATCTTCGCCATCATCCCCCCAAGGAAAAAAACAAAAAAACAACAACAACAATAAAATTTTAATCAATGTAAGAAAATTATATATAATATATATTTTTAAAAAATCTATCTCTTCAATCCTCTAGTTTCATGTTACTACCTCTGTAAGAATGAGTTCAATGTACACATGATGATAAAAAAAGTAAAAACCTCTGTTTTGATACCGAGTAAGATTTTTTAAAAGGCCCACTATGCCTCAGTAATGTTTATTTTATTTATTTCTTAAAATATTTTAATTCTAGTATACTATTTTAGCATCCAAAATGTTACTTAATGGTCAATATTCTGAACCATCTAATCCATCTGTTTCTTTTGCGCAATAAGTAGTTTGTGAATTTGTGTTTTGTATTCAAGTCAAAATACTACTTTGTTTACATTTTGCTACTTTTATGGCAAATTACTTCACATTTACCGCTACTTCTTTAGATAACAAACATCAAACATTCACTTAAACCATTATTAAAACGTTATAAAATTAATGTTTGCCCTCATTAGAAGTAAAAATTTATTTGTTTCTGAGGCGTAATGTGCCTTTAATTTGAGCACACTTTTACTGAATTCAGATGTGTACAAATGAATCATATCTCGTGTGGTGTAAACATATCATGAGGCAGTATAACTATTAGTCATTTTATCAGCAAACGTGCAAGTCATGCCAACATGTCAAGTGCAAGAAGACCATTTCGCATATAAAGACAAATGTTGAATCATTTGTATTATACCTCACGTAAAACGTGACGTATGGTGTTATCCTTGAAATGAATATCATCCGGTCATTTTTTTTTAATCCCCAGGGGCGAGAAATCTAATTAGACTTAAGAAAATGTAATGTTCTAGTTCTCTCCCGTGATAGAAAATCGGTCTGAGGTGGTATTAACACGTGTCTCGCATAGTACATACATCTGAGGCTCTTTTACCCCGAGTTTATAGTATTTATTTATTACATTTGATTGTTAGTTTGTTTGTTTGTTTATTGTCTATATAAATTAAATTTAAAATCAACAGTTTTACTATGGACACTGAAACTTTTTTATCAGAATGTTTCAAAATTGATAACTTTTGAATAAAAGTTTTATTTATATCTTATTTGATTTGTCCGACAAAAAGTCACATGTAAAATATATCCGGCATATTAAATACGTAACCAGAAACTTTCCGAAAATAAGAAGAAAAAAAGAAATTTCAAGAACCACAAGACAGAGATGTTTTGTTTTACTATATAGATGATTACAAACAGGAAAGTAACATATTACATAATGATGCTATATAATAATTATTCAGAAGCAACAACAAGATTTAATACTTTTTGAAAGTCCAATAATAAAAATTAAGCATGTCCAATAAAAAGTGTTATCAGTCTAAAGTAAGTAGTAAGAATTTTTTTTTCGTTTTCATTTTATCTGTATCATATAGCTATATTTATATAAGGAAGTTTTTGTCGATGATTAATTACGCAATCGAAATAAACCATTACATTTATGGCATCGAACGATTGCCAATCAAATCGATTTAATTTAATTTTGTCTGTCATGTATAACATCATGCATTGTTGTGGCTATAAATACATGTATAATACACAAATGTTCAATGCACAATATTAACATCGCATGCACAGTTAAGTATATTAATGTTAAAAAAATGCAGCGGTTTAACATTTTATCGCTCGAAACATCATGTAAATTGTCCGTATGATATTTCTAACATATAAATTGTCGTAATTAAAGGAAAAGTTAAAATTGCAAAACATGATTTGTCAAATACGTTTCGTCATAAAGTTGTCTGACCACGTGTTTAATTGATTTACGGCATTTTGAAACGACTTGCTATAAAAGACTCTCATTTTCTAATCACAAGCGCAATCTTGATTTGACGCAAGAAGGTAAGTGAAGTTGTTTCATGCAAGTTTTACAGGAATGATAATGCTTAACAGTATCGAAAAGTTAAAGTACGACATAAAATCGTAGAAGAAGATATGTTTATTTTTTAATATATTTCTTCATAAGTGAAAATAATGCTTTTGCAATTTCTAATCCTATCTCCCATTGTTTTATTTCTTTTATTATTATTATAATTATTATTTTTACTGCTTTGGCAAAATAGCAGTGTATGTTATTTCCTTAGTTTATTTTATGTTTAGATCTTTACCTTCTTTTTACATTTTATTTCTTTAAATGTTATTTTGTAATTACAATTACACCTTGTTTTCATAATATTGTAAGAAAGTATCTTCTATCTTCTTCAATTCGAAACTAATTTGTTTTTAGCTTTTTGTAGTATTGTCTAGCGTGTAAGTAATTGTTTCCCACATACACACGGATTATATACTATAATCATTACAGTGTTGTATACTTTAAAAAAACGTACCTTTTATTTTCAGATAATCAAAATATCAGAAAGATGAAGTCAGTCATTCTTCTTGCACTTTTTGGTGCCGTTATGGCCATCGGTAAAGGTAAGTATGGAACACGTTCAATGATATCAAATCAAACAAAACAATTAAAAAAACTTGTCGCAGGTGTCTTCAGGGTCTTTATCAATTTTATGCCTCAAAATGAATTATTTAGAAGACTATTTTGAACAACTTAGGACAGCGGGAAAAAACAGTTACTAGTATTCATTATAGAATAGAATAGATGATGCATGGTTCTCCAGTATATGATTAGTCTGTTTGTATTTCATTTGGTGGTAATAATTTAACGTAAAAACACCACCCAACAATGTGTGACATATACTTATTTTCATTTGTTTTCTAGGTGGTAGCGGTGGTTACGGAGGTGGTTATGGCGGTGGTTACGGCGGTGGATATGGAGGTGGTTATGGTGGTGGAATGGGTGGTGGATCCGGAGGAGGAGTTGTAATTGTATCTGGAGGCGGGGGAATGGGTGGTGGTGTTGGTGGCGGAATTGGCGGTGGTGTTGGAGGCGGTGTAGGTGGTGGTATCGGCGGTGGAGTCGGAGGCGGTGTAGGTGGTGGTATTGGCGGTGGTGTTGGAGGCGGGGTAGGAGGAGGTATTGGAGGTGGAATGGGAGGAGGCTCCGGAAGTGGAGTTGTTATTGTAACTGGTGGCGGAAGCGGAGGTGGTATGGGTGGCGGCGTCGGCGGCGGTATGGGAGGGGGTTATGGTGGTGGATACGGTGGGGGTTATGGAGGCGGTATGGGAGGTGGAAAATACGGAGGTGGTGTGAGCGGAGGATATGGCGGTGGATACGGTGGCGGTATGGGTGGTGGTAGCAGTGGAGGCGTTGTAATTGTATCTGGTGGAGGAGTCGGTGGTGGTGTTGGGGGCGGTGTCGGTGGTGGTGTCGGAGGTGGTATTGGAGGCGGTATTGGAGGCGGTATCGGTGGTGGAGTCGGAGGTGGAGTTGGAGGTGGAGTCGGAGGTGGAATAGGTGGAGGGTACGGCGGTGGATATGGTGGTTAGTTTATTCTATATTAACCATATTTTTCATAAAACTCAACCATTAAACTTTAGTACTTGTGCAACATTAAGAGAGTGCTGTGATTTGACTGTGTTTTCAATTTGAATGCAAATTGCTATACGATTCAAGATTAATGCGCACAATATAAATCTTAAATCGTTACAATGATTATAATAGTATTTTCCCCTTGATCTGTTAGGTGGTTACGGGGGTGGAATGGGCGGCGGAAGTGGAGGTGGTTTAATCAAGATTATAACCAGTGGTGGTGGTGGAAGTGGATTCGGAGGAGGCATGGGTTAGTGTTTTGTATTGAGCTTATTAAATTGTAGTAAAATTCCAAATGTTAACTTGATTGGTAGTAAATTATTCAAAATGAATAAAATTAGTATTTGATAATTTTTATTGATGAAAATAACATCAAAATAGAATGATTTAAAAATTCAAAAGTAGGATATAATTATCAGATTGCCTTTTTCTAAATAATAGGAGGCGGTGTTGGTGGTGGAGTAGGAGGTGGCATTGGAGGCGGAATTGGAGGTGGCATTGGAGGCGGAATCGGAGGTGGCATTGGAGGCGGAATCGGAGGCGGAATTGGAGGAGGGGCATCTCTTTCCAAATGTACATTAATAAAATGATAATTTAAATAACCATTTTGAATACTATTTTACGTAAACGACTACACTCCAGAGTAATTAAGTAAACAAAATAGCCTTCAATCAAAAGAAGATCTCAGTTTATGAATGTTCAGAAATTAGTGTTAACAGATTTCAATTCCTGTGATTAACACGAATAACTTTTAACCACATGTTCCATTTCTTTCTTCAGCATACAAGAAGTAAATTCAAGGAATGCCGCACAACGAATGACTTTGGTTTGTTGGCCCAGTACAATGATTTTGGCGTTCTGATGGACCTGTATACGGATGAGATTTTAAATGCAATAATTTGTTATAGCTTATTTATGTTGTATTGTTACATGTAATTTATCTTTTGCTGTTTGTGTGTTTCTTAACATAAATAAAGCCTTTGAAATACATAATTTACTGTTCCTATATAGGCTTCTTAAAATGCACGAGTACACTCTAATGTCGGGTGAACAAACGATCCTTATTGCTTTTTGTTCCTTCGTTAATCCCTTCTAATGTTGAGTCACATACGTCATATAGAAGATTTCAAGAAAGTATATCCTGCACTTAAAGAATATCAATAGTGAGAATGAAGTCAAGTTTTTTCAATAACTTTTATTTGTTCTAATACAAAGTGGTTAGAATAACCTGAAAATGTCCGAGCATGTCAGAAATATTCTGAAGTTTTTACACAACCCCGATCGGAAGCTTAAGCATTCTTCAAGATATACTTGTACGACAAATAAATTTGAAAGAAATCTGGTATTTCAATTTGTGTTTGCTCTTTTGATTGTATAACATTTGATATTTCCTCTTCTGCCACAACATGTATTACGGATTCTTATTCTAGTAAACACATCCGAAGTTCAAAATAAATATCTTTGTCCTTCATATATGTGATGGCAGCATTAAATTTAAAATAAAGATCTTGCTCGTTTTCGCTGCAAATTTAAAAATACAAGTAAGAGTGCTTTTCCCCAAAAAGGAATTACTGTTACAGTAACAATAGAGTGAAATCGCGGAAAACGGAAAACCTAAAGGTCTCTCAAAACTGAAAATGTTCTAGGCTATGTTTGATTGAGCCTGTTCATGGACTGTAATGGCAAGTGCAAGTTACCGTCCACGCCCGTGGACACCACCAAAAGCTGAGTTTAACATTTACAAGACTGTATTATATAGCGCTCCAGAAAGTTGTATTTATCGGTAGCATGCAGTCATATCGGCAGCACAATAAAGCTTTTAAAACCAACATAGATATTAACAATACACATATGTTTTTGAAAGATCATGGTCTTGAAAAATCGTTATACATGCAGCTTTCCGAAAGCATATTATGATCTGATGAAGCACTGTAAATCAATCTTATACATTCATCTAATGACTTTATCTCCATTCAAATGCATGAAATGATACAAACATTTATTCTTCAAACGATCTTAAAAGATGTGCAAAAAAAAGTTTCAAAAGGAATACATTCATGTAGATCTGAATAAGACAAAATATAACAGAATGCGATTAGTTAGTATTTTAAATCTGAAAAGATATCGTGCACCATTTAAAAAAATGCAAACCACTTGAGCATGATAACAATAAATATAAAAACAGACAACGAAGAGGAAATAAAACAGTCAATTTAAAACTATCTAGATATGTGTTATCTAATAAGGTACTGAATATAACATAAAAATCGTTTCTATACATTATTTACAATGCTAATTTATTCAATGAATACTTAGAGGAAGAGCGCAAACAATCCATCTAACATAATATCACAAGATTTGGAAATGGTTCAAAAAGTTGCAAAGGCAAATAAATCGGATAAGTTATTTTCAGGAAATCGAACCTTCAATTGCCTCATCAAAAACTGTCATGATTCTAGGTTAACTGTCCAGAAATACTTGTCTGTCATATAATTTATATAATATTTTCACCACAGTTTTCAGAAAAAGAAACAAAAATACAGAAAAAATTCGATTGAAATTTAATCAACGGTTCAAAAATAGTGCTTTAATACGGGTTCTGGCTAGGCCAGGCAAAAATGACTTAGAGTCATATTAATATTTTAGAAATATAAAACCTCTAAAAAAATTATAATATTTAGAGCAAATCCGTGACTACTGGAGAGTTAGCAGATTTATAAGGAGGAGCTATACTTGCGAAAAATCAAAAGCAGCATTAAGCCTCAGAAAGGAATTAACTTTTGGGTGTTTGTTTGTTTGTTTGGATTTTTACGGCACGTCAACACATAACTGGCCATATCGTGCCGAATGATATTCAAAAAGAAAATGTTTGACAGTAAATTTTTCATTACAAGCTACATAGAATTAACTGTTTCGGGAAAGGATGGACATGTATTGTGTGCACAAAATGGATAAATAACTTAAGACATTTCAATTTTAAGTGTCTGTTGCAGTAGCATTTGTGTGAGGATGGTTACCTGTAACAATGTTTTAGTTTCGTTATATCTCAAGTATTAATGTGTATAAAATTACCAACCCAAGCAAAAATATATTTACATTGTTAACGACTTCAAACAAATCATCTTTCACTTCTAAGAGACTTCTCAGAGTTTTGATTAAAGATTATTTCCTCCATCAACTCCCACGTCCTATGTTCACAGGTAAAAGTTTATATCTGTAAATGTGGCCATGCTATATAGAATTAGGAACGGTTTTATTCACCTGATTTGATTTGGTATTATAAGTAAATAATAATAAATGAAACAATTTGAGTAAGTTCAGTTAGTAGCATATGATCTCTCATTTCCATGTACATATACGTTCACAGATAAAGGACGTTAACACAAACAAGATTTCTTTAGCTTTCCATTTCAGGTTGATTTGCCTGACAATACACACTAGCTGTGTACTTTGAGCATATCACAGAGCATTTATATCTTTCTACCGATGATTTTCGAAAATCAGATTTCTGTTAATCTGTATTTTCTGACTTTAACACTTTTGAACACTAGACATATTCTTTAAGAAGTGGAGTTTCGTTAATATTGAACATATTAACATGAATTCTGTTGACAAGACATTTGCCTCTGATGTTTCAGATGCCATTTTATAGACTACAAAATGAGGATTTATGGGATTGAATGGACCTGTAAACAGGTGGTTAGAATTTAACAGAAGTGTTAATAAACACACCTATTATAGTCTTTTGAGAAACAGGTTTTTAACATACTGTTATAGATAAGCTACTTCAACGGCTTTTAATTTATCGGATGGTTTAATTTAATAGGGCTTTGTGCAGCTGGTATTGTGACTTCCTTACAAAATACTAAATCACTTTAAGTGAACAAATTGCCAAACTGCAAAATGATATGAGCCTTCATAACATGATACTATGGACATTGGCAACATATTTTATTTCATGGTTATCAGTTTTCTTTTAGTTTTACGTCACACCGACACAGTATAGGTCATATGGCGACGTTCCAGATTTTACTGGTGGAGGAAGACCTCAAGTGCTCTCTCCGTGCATTATTCCAGGTACGAACAGGCACCTGAGTAGCACCACCGACGTTCCGTAAGCTAATCACCAAATCAACAAATTTGGAAGAAAGGCACATATTCATTTATACACAATAACACTCATTATACGATAGATTATTGAAATATGATGAATTGCAATAAGCAAACTTAGTCCAATTGCAAACCAATCAACCAATCAATAAATCGGAAACAATAACAGCTATCAATGCAAAATAATTATATGTCCTTCAAATAAACTTTGTATATGTGGGGTTTCACACAACAAAATCTTACGGTACAGCAGAAATTCTTGATAATAATTATTGAAGATCATCAATAGAAAAGTTCTGATCAAATAGTTAAGAAAGAAATCCACCGTATGTATCGTTTGGAAAAGCAAATAATCTATTTCAGAGATTTTTGTACGGCTATTTAAAAAAATGGAGTTTCGTTCATAGCAATAACTAATTTTCTTACCTTTTAACAATTGAAGAAATGGAGGGAAAAAAGAAAGTATTTTACAACTTAAATAAAATAACAAAATAAGATTTTGATATATCAGTATCTTCTCTGTGCCTGAAATGTACGTTCTTACATGAATGATTTTTTTAATTTAAAGTATAGTGCTGTTTTTAAGAAAAGGAACAGACCATCGCTGTCAATCTCGATTTCGAATCAGCATTTGATATTGGTTAAAAATAAAAAAGACAACATTGCATGTTTAATTTATGTGATCATTTTTCAAATTGAATGATTATTTATACTTCTTAAAGTTGCTCAAATTGTGATATTTACTGTGACATTAACTTTGGCTTTAGTATGAATCTAATTGCCTTATTATAAATAGGAATACGAAACATAATTGAACAAACATGTTTAAACAATGTTTTAATTCTACTACAATATACTAGAACAGAATTAAAAGCCAAGTGTGTTTTTCTTTTCTTTCTTTTACAAATAAATTTAATGTGAATATAATTAACTATTTCTAAAATATGAAAATTGTTCTATTATCAAAACAGTAAACATTCTTTGTGTTATGCTCAATAAACCATATTCCTCATATTTATAATTGTCAAAATTAACTTTAGTCTGGTGATAGACGGTACCTGCTGATGTAAGAACGGCGTAAATTAAAAAAAACACTTGCTTGACAATTACGCTTTACATTGACATATTGAAAAGTAAATGATCACTTTGCGTGATCAATAATAAAAATAGAAACATTTTAAAGGACCATTATGCCCCAGAAGTGCTTTTAACTCATTCCTCAAAAGCTTTTTATATTTGGTGTACTTATGTGCGTCGTGATTGCGCTAGCGACAAGAAAACATAGCGACAAACGGCGCGTTGTCGGACTTTCGTCTTGTCGTCCTGTCGTTTACGATGTACAACAAACGGCGCGTTGTCGTGCGGCGTATTGTCGCGGTGTCACATTGTCACTCGGTTCAAATCGAAGGAATGGCTTATTAGCCAAAAGCGACAAGACATCATAGCGACAACGCGACGTTTGGCGCTTTGGCGTGTTGTCGCTAGCGACAAGACGAAAAGCAATAGCGATATAGGTTGTGTTGTCGCTATCGACAATGCAACGCACATTGTACCAAATCAGCCACCATAATTTTAAGAGAAAAAAAATAAATAATGATTTACTCTAAAATATATATTATAATTATAAGTTAAAACACTCAAGAAATCATAATCATGTTTAAGCTCTTTTATCCCCAGTAAAGCGCAATGTAAACAGTTCTTTGTTAAAACTCATTGAATGAATATAGGTTCATTATTGAATTTATTGAAAGATTTCAATAAATTTAGTGATGTAGCTATTCGTAAATAATATTTTATATCATAAACATAACATTCAACATAAAAAAGAAATCGCTTTTGTCATTGACGCGCTTATAGTGTAATGATGACGTCGCGTCAAAATA